ATATGGTTTTACACTATATAGCAAGCTTTCTGAAGCCATACAGTAGCTTTTGTAAGAAATTGAAATTAAAGTCTTGAAATTGACCCTAATCGTTTCTAATGAGCTATTAAGCATTACCGAGCTGGCACACACACTTAGGTGAACAACACATTGGAGGAAGATATGAGTTTTGTGAAAGGGTGTGGATATTTGGCTGCTGGTGTTGTACTGACGTGGGAAATGTAAGGCAGCTAAGGCAGCGCTCTCTTTGTCTTTTTTGAGGCTGTGGCGACACATTTGGGTAGATAGACCCAAATGGTTGTATACTCTTCTTGGCCATTCCAATGTTAGCCGTCACAGATTTACTACAGAAAAGCTTTACTTCTGTCTGTGGTTCTTTTCTTACCCCTTTTGAGAGGTGTTGCATTTAAAATTACACACGTGGCCAACTGGGAGATCATCTTTAGTTCCTGTAAATTACAATGTAGCGATACAAATGGAAAACATGTCAATCATAAATATATTATGAGCAAATTGAGTTCCTCTTTTTTACATCATTTGAGTTGAATGATGCAACCTTTACTGGTACTATATTTTAGTCATCCAAATGAGGTATGTCCTCTTTTATGTTTAGCTTCATACTTGTGAAAATGTGCCTTTTTCAAAAATGGATTAACGCCTTCTTCCAAAACATACAATTTGGTGTTTAGTGCTTGATGATGTGTTGTATAAAGCAGGTTTTCTTTCATAGTCTATGAGTTTTAAATGAGTTTCAGCATTTTAGGGGCAGTTTACACGACACCGTTTTCAACTAAAAAAATGTAAAACTTTTTATGCGTTTTTCCATTCATTTACTTGACAATGGTGTTTTGGGTGCCTTAAAACACTAACTTTTGAAAACGGTCTCTGCGTAAACCATCTCTGAAGATGATGACGTGATGCACGTGCGTATTACGTGTTCAGGCTACAGTGTTTCATCGCCATCTAATGGCCTGGGAGAGGAATAACGCGATTTCAGTCGTTTTCGCGGATCTGTGTGAATGGGGATCGTTTTGACAATGGTGTCGTCTGTACGTGGAAAACTCAAAGGAAAAACTTCTCAGTTTTTAGCATATCGTTGTCGTGTTTTAATGTACCCTAAGACATTGTCCCATCCTTATTCAATTAAATATGTGGCCCTTAGATTTAGGTTTTGATATCTACATTGATTTAACATTTAATCATTTAGCAGACACTTTTATCCAAAATGACTTACAAATGAGGAGAACGATAAAAGCAATCAAACCAAAAATAGGGCAGCAATATGTAAGTGTTGTGACTAGTCACAGTACACCAGTGTTGTGCCTGAACGCGTTCATATTTTGAGGCGAACGTGAACTGAACGTACTGTATTACTGCCTGATGAATGTTACTGTGAACGCGTTCATTCTGTTGTCTGTGAACGCACACTCTCTCAGTTTAACTTCGTACAATAGTGTGCCAGATTTCTATAGAGCCTTCCAGGCTAAAACACATGTAAACAGGCTTTAATATGTAGCGAAAAAACACCCAATCTGGCAACACAAGTCACCAGTGTCACACCACGGCATCATTTAAACGGGTTTTATGACGAGGCCGGTGACGATGGGAAATATCTTGCATTTCTGTGCAAACTGCCCGTCGATAAAATAATTGTTGTCTGTGGTTGTATATGGGCTGTGGCAATAGACCTTATTCAGATCAGCGCCATGACAGGTATGAAAGTGAGGCTGTGAGGGATAGACTTACCGTGTTTACAATGGCATCCGCTGTAAAAAGATGAATAAAGCTCCTTGATTACTTACAATTTTCCACAGCTTACAGATCGGGAGTTTTTTGTCAACTGAAATTTCTTGGAAAGATATTTTTTCCAGTGTTTCATGAGCAGAACAATCCGAAAACCCTTTATAAATTTCCCCCCTGGGGATTAATAAAGTAAATCAAATCAAATCGAAAACACATTAAATAACAATACAGCCTATTGAAGAGATGCATGTCTATCCCCTCACAGCCTCGCTTTCATTCTCACTAAAAATGACAAAGATGGCGCTGCCATGAATAAGGTGTTTAACAATAAATAAAAAGGAGCTGGCAATATATGGAAAAAGAACTATAAATGAACTAGTTAATTTTTTGAAGTATGAACTAACTGAACTAGTTCATTTTAAAATGTGTGAAGTGAACTGAACTAGTTCATGTAGAAAGTGAACTTTCCCAACACTGCAGTACACATAGTTTTTTGTTTTTTTAATAAATACAAAATGAATAGAATATAATACTGTTAGTATTAACAGTTCAAATCTTTAGCTGTGTCTTGATATTTACAGATGACTTCCTTTTCAAACATGTTCTGATCAGCTTTAGTAATTATTGTTTCCTGAAATGTCTCATTTTTACTTGTTCTTACTAGAAAAATTTTGTTTCCTGGTTGGAAAAAAATGTGAGAAAAGTGTTTGTTTGTTTGTGTGTGTGTGTGTGTGTGTGTGTGTGAAGGAGGATGTGGGTCAGTGAGGAATGTGGATTCCTGGCATTCCCGTGTGAGAGCGGGAGGTAAACCGGGATAGATGAGAAAGAGAGGAACACCTCCGGGTTAGGGCTGCAGGGTTTGTACCTCTAACTGTGCCTCCCTCTGTTTGCTCTGTGATAAGGAGGACACATGCGCTGGTGTGTGTTCATTCGTGTATGAAGAATGTTTATGCTCTCCCAGGGCTACAGGATAATGATTAAACTTATAATCACGATTATTTTGAAATTAATTTTGTGATCAAAAATTATAATCGTGATCATTAATCACTGTTCGATTAATTAATCATTGATCATTAATCACTACTCGTTTGAAAAGATTAAAATATATACTGTATATATAGGCTATTGCTTTGTGTTTTGTCTTCACATTAGATATGAGAAGCAATTCAGTTGTAAATGAGACAAACCACAGATTCAGATCGCTCCACAAATGCAAATTCATACCGCAAAGAGCCATACTTGTGGGCTTTGAAATGGCTGAACGCTGCAAAGAGACGGTGGCTATGTTTTTTAACCGCTTTACATTTTGAAAACTGGTCAAATTGAAAGAAGATTCTCTCAAAATCCCTCTGTAGTCAATCATCACATATTTTAAAACTCAACTTTGATCACCAAAATTACAATTTAAATGTTTTTTCCTTAAAAAAAGAGTCTAAATGGTTTAAATTTTCATGAATGTAACTCTACACCCTTGCCGTGTTTTTGAGACTGTCTTTGGTTCACTGCAGTTTTAAGGAGAAAATACTCAGCAATGATGTCGACTGATGAATTTACACATGGTTTGTCTTAAAGCATATTAAAAACACCACATAGACGTATAAACAACATTAAAAGCTTGATTTTCACCACAGGGGGTCTTTAAGGTCCTAATATTAATTCCCATAATTCCAAATTATGTAAAATTTGTACTTTGTATTGTAGCACAGAGTTTGCACAGACTGAATTTATTCACCAACTATTACAATTTGGATTTATTACAGTTCGTCACAGTTTTAGTGTCAGCATATCGCACAGGTGACGGCCTCGTGAAGGAGCACGGATCGGCTGTGTGACTCTTTCATTCGAGCAACATTTCACAATCAACATTGCTAAACTCGAGTCCACATCACAGAGAGAGTGTGTTCATGGTTGACAAAACAACATGGTGGATTAAGATAAACACTGGGCAGAAAATGTAGCTTTTTTTAAGAGAAAAGCCTTGTTTGGGGGATATATTTTATTGACATCTGCCGCAAGCAGGAAAGATAATGGAGGCTTGTTACAGATATGTCAAAAAAAAAAAAAAAATTAATAAAAACATTTCAGGATAAATAATCATATCACAACAATTATTTTTATTTTTTATTAATTGAATGAAGCAATTAAAATATGATTAATTCTGTCCTGTGTAAGTTTGTGGTGCTCATCTTGCAACATGTGTGTCTAAATGTCTCTACAGGGGCTTTGTACGTCCTGCTAGCATTGTGTGTGTGTGTGTGTACCATTTTGGGGACAGATATGGGTAGGCCTATGTCCTCATTTGTAAAACCAACATAAAAATAAAATAAGTAAAGTTTTGTTAAAATTGTAAAATGCATTAAGTTTTCTGTTAGGGAAAGGGTGTGGGTTAGGGTATTTATAACTAGATGAATATAAAAAAAACACATAATAAAAGTCTGTGGAATGTCCCTGTTTTACATAGTAATCAAGTGTGTGTGCTTATTTTACAGCGAGTGAGAAAGAGTGAGTAACCTTTTTCCCACAATAAAAACAGGCCAAGCAATTGTGGGCCTCTATTTTGACACACACTTTACTCGCTGCAAAGTGTACGTGCATCATGCCCTGTGGTCAGGTGGTGGCTATGGCATATTTATGTTTTATGATAGTGAATGATGATCATATTCAAATGCCATGGCATTTCAGAGAATAACAATGACAAAGAAACACATGGTACTGTGATTTTACCATGAGAAAAAAACGAGGCATTGCAAGTCACATGCCTAAAACTTATTGTAGTAACATGTTACAAGTAAAAACAAGTATTACTGTGGTCCATGCACCAAAAAAAACTCGGCACCGTGGTACCGTTTCCAGAAATCATATTAATACCTTTTTTGTGTGTGATAACAACGCTGAGTCAATGTTCATATGTTTTCAGGCATGTGTAAAACGTAGAAAGGGAGACTGACAGCTACCCCTCTCCTGGTACCAGTAACCTCAATGATTGTTCATATCAAGAGCCTGTGGCATAAACTGTGTGTTTTCGTGAAGGAGAGGTTATGTTCATGTGAAATCTGCATTAACTTTGCCTCATTACACCCTATAGTTGGCAAACATTAATGGCGTGAGGTAAGCTAGAATAACCAGAGGTGCTGCTGTATATGTAATATCAGCTTCACGAGTCGCTGTCTCAGCTGATATGGGGACACTCAAGGTCCTTCAGCTCTGACTCTGTTCATCACACACGTATTCATCTGAATCCTCTCTGTCTCTGTCAGATGCAGCATCCTCTTCATACCATCATGGAGCCGGCTGAGAAATAAGAGACCGCGGAGACAGCAGGTGAGTGCTGACAGGCCACAACACAAGGTCTCCGTTGTGAGCACAAGGCAATCACAATATTCTTATTCAGGTCTAAAAAACGTAAAAAAAAAAAAAAAAAACAGAAATGTCTTGGTAAAACCTTAGTAAAAAATCAACAATTCCATCCATTGGGTGATTGGTGTTCTATTGGGATTTTTAAAAATGAAATGCACAAATTCCATGCCCTTTTTTTTTTTTTGGATACATCCATTTCATTCAGTTCAAAATAGTTGGACGGTCGGAAACCCGACCGAGACAAAACTGAAAAGGGTCATGTGACGCTGAAGACTGCTGAAAATTCAGCTTTCCATCAAAGGAATAAATTATATCTTAAAGACTCCACTTTTTTGGAAATAGGCTCATTTTACAACTCCCCCAGAGTTAAACAGTTGAGTTTTACCGTTTTCGAATCCATTCATCCGATTTTCTGATATTTAGAAGAATATCAGTAACCAGACAGTTTCTGGTCTCATTGACTTCCATAGTATATTTTTTTCCTACTATGGAAGTCAATGAGACCAGAAACCGTCTGGTTACTGATATTTTTCTAAATATCAGAAAATCGGCTGAATGCATGCAAAAACGGTAAAACTCAACTGTTTAACTCTGGGGGAGTTGTAAAATGAGCCTATTTCCAAAAAAAGTGGAGTATCCCTTTAACATAGGGTTGGGTATCGTTTGAATTTGAACGATTCTGATTCCGATTCCGATTCCTTGTTTCGATTCCGGTTCCTAACGATTCTCGATTCCGATTCTTTTAAGAGGCAGGGTCAAAAAAGTTTAGCTAACCTTGCTGACCAACGGTCTTTCGGAAGGAAATAATCCTTTCTGAAGGAAATACTCCTTCTGTCACAAATACTCCTTTTGTCCACAAATTTTGCATTTTGCCGAGATTTCGTTATTTTTAGAAAAGTGAAGCCACACTTTGGACCGCCGACGTAAGCTACTCATGTTCGACTTGCGCGGTTATGCCAACACTTCCGGTAGACGCTTTGTTGGTGTTCAGCGGTTTCTTCTTCGCTCGTCGGACTGTGAATATTGAAACTAGGAATCGAAATTTTAACTTTTGAACGATTCCGGGAAAAACGAAAAGTTAGTCCCGATTCCAATCGATACTCGATTCTCGATACCCAACCCTAAACATATATCACAACAGAAACCAGTTTAATTAAATTGTGAGAACATTTCACTGTATTACTGTTTTTACTGTATTGTTTTTACTGTATTTTTGATCAAATGAATACAGGCTTGGTGAGTTTTAATGCCCAGAACACAGCAAGCCGACGGTCGGCCGTCAGGCAGTTTTTGTGTGTCAGCCGACTAAGTTTCCTCGGTGTGTTCAGCACAGTTGCGTGCCGTCGGCTGAAATTGGTCCATGACCGATTCGACGTGTTGAAGGGCTGTCGGGTCAAGAGAGAACTCTGATTGGCTGTTCAGCTTAGTGAAAGAGTCGAAAGGCAAGCAAAGAAGTCAAAACGGTAAAGATAGAAGGCTGTTCTTATGTTACGTCCTCTTACCTGAGTGAAAACTCAAAGGAAAACTCAGTTTTAAGCATATTGTTATCGTGTATTTTGATTATATTAGATTATAATATTTAGATTTTTATTATATTGTTAAAAATCTAAATATTTCCAAACTTTTGACCGGTAGTGTATGTCCTGTTACCTTTCCTTCCCCCACTAACTTGCTGGATCCACCACTCCCTTTGTATCAGGCCCTCAGGATTTATAGCTTAAGCACTGGCAGAAACCCCAGGAGGGTGATGTTCGGGGTATCGGAGCCCAACGCCTACCTTTACCCCAGCAGCCTTGAGTCAACGGGAAGGCAAGTTATTTTGCCTAAACAACAACCTGCCGACTCCTAAAGGGCAAAGAGGTGGCGGCTGAAATAAAAGTGTAATGCCAGCACTGCAGGTTATCTATTCCACACCCTGTGGTATAAGCACCTCTTTCTCTGTCCTAGGATCAGTGGTCTAAACGATTAAGTTTGTGTTTACATAATATATGTGGGTGCACTGTGTATAATTATTTTGTATATGTAAATACACACACATGCTTGCATATATTTAAGAAATATTTTCATGTATATATATTTATATATAATTTATATTATATATGAAGAGTTCAGATGCAAAAGCCTCTAAATGCCATTTGAAATTTTCTTCTTTAATGATGATTTTTATCAAACTTGTATATTTAAGTTCAGTAATTTCACTTAAATAACATTTAATAGGTAATTATCATTGCCATTTAAGTGAAATTACTGAACTTAAATATACAAGTTTGTTAAAAATCATCATTAAAGAAGAAAATTTCAAATGGCATGTAGAGGCTTTTGCATCTAAACTCTTCATATTAATATTTTATATATAAATAATATTTTGTTCTTAAATATACATGCATGTGTGTGTATTTATATACAGTATATACAGAATAATTATACATAGTGCACCCACATATATTATGTAAACACAAGCTTTTATTTTGGATGCGATTAATCGTTTGACAGCCCTAGTCTAAACAAGGCCCGTTCAGTTTATAAGCTACACAGTTTCAGTGGAGTAAAGTTCCTCTGATGTCACCCAAGGAGTTCAGTTCAAGAAGAGGGAAAAAGTTTAGCTCTCGACCTACAGTAGTTGCGCAAGTACCTTTTTTACTCTACTGTCTACTTGTGCAACTAGGTCGAGGGCTAAAGCACACAATAATATAAAAACCAGCATGTCTCATCTCTTAGTTGAAGCTTTTATATTAAGTCGTAGGTCTTGAATCTTGCTACTGGGGACCCAATGTCCTGTAGTGTTTAAGTGTCTACTTTGCAATAGTTTAGGTTGACAATGTGGAGCACGTTTCTTCAGCAGTAACGGTACTGAAACTCCTATGGTCCTTGGGGAGAGTAGGACAGGATATGAGGTGCAAGTCTGCACAGTAAATTTGTAAGTACACACTCATGACGCAAGGTTTTATCACGCGATTTCCACGAAAGCTATTCCCTCTGGGGAGTCATAGCTTGTTACTATATGGCAATTGTTCATATCTCATGCCAATATACAGAGAGGATGTTAGAAAGAAGATGTTTGGTTGCTTATGTAACTCTGGGCGTCTGATAACAGAAGTGAGGTGTCCTCCTCACAGACGGCACGGACTAGAGATATGCTGAGAGTAAACAGGGAAATCAAGCCGTATTATTCAGTTGTTGTTTTTGGAAAATATCTTTCATATATATGAACTTTTCAGAACTAAGACAAACAGCAACAAACTGAATTTGACTTTTGTTTGAATGTATTTATTGTCTGACCGGGTTTTGAATCTTTTTGCTTGTGGGAGGAGATAATTTTATATTATTATAAATGTATTTGACCGTATTTGTACGTGCTGCTGTTATTATTCAAAGCTGTCTATTTACTTTAAATTATTATTTGATTTACTCTATTAAATCATGCTATCAAACCTGCTTGACTGGCGTCGATCTTGCACAATCTTAAAATTATTATTATTAGAATATTTACAGCAGTTCAAAGTTACAGACTGTTTTAAATGGGGTATGCTTTAGTTCCATTTTAAACACCATAGTTAGTGGTACGTGTATGCTTTCATTTACATAGGATGTGGGTTTAATTGTAAGTAGTTAGACAGATGTCTGATTAACCCCTTAGCTGAGAGCTGTGTACTGTAGGGATAGTGGTGTGTCTCAGCAAAAACCTAGCCTTAAGGGAGTAGTTCACTTTAAAAAAAACCTTTGCTGATAATTTACTCACCCCCATGTCATCCAAGATGTCCATAATCCAAGATATGTCATCCAGGTTTTTGATGAAAACATTCCAGGATTTTTCTCCATATAATGGACTTCAATGGGAACCAAATGATTCAAGGTCCAAAAGACACTTTCAGTGCACTTTAAATGATTCAAGACGATGAATAAGGGTCTTATCAAGCGAAACAATCGCTCATTTAAAAAAAAAAAAATAACAAAGGTTAACCTTTATAAGCTCAAATGCTCGCCTTGCTCTTTTCTGTGATGCACGTTCGTGATTCTCCTGTTCAAACTCGTTCATCAAAATGAACCAATCTTTTTTCGTGTCATTTGGTTGAATCACAGAACATCAAAGAACAGAGCAAGGTGACCATTTGAGCTTATATTGAGCTTTTGTTTTTGTTTTTTAAATGAGCGATCGTTTCACTTGATAAGACCCTTATTCATCGTCTGGAATCGTTTAAAGCCCTTTGAACAGTTTGCAGTTTGCACTGAAAGTGTCTTTTGGACCTTGAACCGTTTGGTTCTCATCGAAGTCCATTATATGGAAAAAATCCTGGAATGTTTTTATCAAAAACCTTAATTTCTTTTTGACTGAAGAAACAAAAACATGGACATCTTGGATGACATGGGAGTGAGTAAATTATTAGCAACATTTTTTTAAAAAAATTGACCTACTCCTTTAAGTGCTTTTTTTCAGACATTTGACTGTAGAACTAAAAATGAAAGCAGTGCTTGTCGATTACTTTGTATATTATTGTGTTGTGCAAAAGGTCATGTATGCACAGCAAAATAAAGGTCACAGTAATTGCAGGAACATTCACAACAATATTAAGAGGAATGAAAGAGGTAAACTAATTGAAATGCTTTTTTCTATCACAGTTTTATGTATGTTTATAAGTGGGTTAGTAAGTTGACTTTTTGAAACATGTTCCCTGTAAGAGCTTTCAAAAGATTGGTTTGAGTTCTGTTAACATATTCATATTCAGATCATTGCATTAACCTAATATTGCGTATAATAGAACTCAAACTTGTACATTAATTGATTTTTTGGTAAAACTTAAGCTGTGGTAACTTGAATGACATTGTCGTGAAAATTGGAAGTGGATTTCTGGGAAGTGGATTTCTAGTTCCCAGCATCCTTTGCATGATAGGACTGAATAAGGTGAATAAATATTATTTCATATATTTTTTTTTTAGTGAACCAAAAGTTAGTGTTTAATGCAGTT